TAGACTAAAGTTGTTAACAATCTCAATCTCTTCACCATCCATCCTGATGCTGCCAATTGGTCCAGTGGTGAGAATCTTTGTCTTCTTGACATTGAGCTTCAATCCATACTGAAGGCTACAGTCCTTGACCCTCTGCAGCAAGCATTTCAGGTCCTCCTCAGTTTCAGCAAGCTGTTTAATTTATTGCCTCTGAAAATCTGCTGGAGGGTCAGATGTCAACTCTGAGCCCACAGCACCCAACAATAATGCCCATGATCTCTCTGTGTGCCCTCTGTGCCTGCTCCTCCTGCCCCCACATGCCCCTTGATAAACAGTGTGGGCTGTGTTTGGATCATCTAAGAATGCATCCTCTGGCGGATAACCGCGGAGATGTCCATCACCCAGTGAATCTAAGGTATTGATGCCTGGTTAGCTCGGGCACAAGCCTGCTGTGAGCTGCCAGCTGACCCAGGGGTTGCCCACTTCTGTCTGGCTAGCGCCCTTAGTGGCTCGCACAAGCCTGGTGTACACCATGAAGGCTCTTCCAGGATCAGCCTGGGCCAGCATCCACGGGGCTGTCTGTGTAGTCCTTCTTTCAGTCCTGAGTTTCGGAGCCCGTGCTGCATGTGAGGCACTGTCGCAGAAGGCTGGGTTGGGCAGGGCTCTGCCCTTAGGATGGTCATTGCTTTGCCGTGGGCAGCGGATACCTAAGCTATGTGACAATGTGACTGTGCACACACCATGGTAGAGGAATGCATGGATTCACAAGTGGAGGGGGAAGACTTCCTGGAGGAAGCTGGGTCTGTCTGAGTTGGTGTTGAAAAATTCCCCAGACAGGAGCCGAACAGGAGGGCATCAGGAGAAGCCTGTGCCCACAGGGGCTAGCCTGGCGGTGGGAGTGCCTCTGGGGTGGGGCCCTGCTGGCCAGCAGATTACTCACAGGCAGAAGTGGGGTCAAAGCAACTGATCCTGAGAGATTTTTACAGGTCGTGAGAACATGCAGAGAGAGCTATGCAGATGCCTCCATCTGTGTGGAACTGCCGGATTCCTGGTCCTGATGTTCAAGTCCCCCCCTCTTTCCTCAGCTCTCTCATCCCTCACCCTCCACCATGGGGTCACAGAGAGCTCCTTCTGTGACCCCATGAGGACCAGGCCAGGAGCGGATACTGCCTCCGTATCCCCGTGTCTGTGTCCCGCTCTGCTCTGTGCTGTGGTGACATTGGGTCAGCAAGCTCCAGTCACCTCATATATGAAAGGAAAGGATACACTCCTAAGGGTTGTTGTGAGATGCGAGGCCAGGCCTGACCGTGGGGCCACTCTGACTGTAGGGACTGTGCCTAGCAGAGGGTACAGGGCCCAGTGGAGGACAGATTTCAGCCCAGCACCTCTCACCTGACACGAGGCCCTGGCCTAGGCCGCCCTGTCTGGAGCGGGAGGGCAGTCTTTCCTGGGACAGGCCTCTGCAGATGCAGGTCCTGAGGTTGGCAGAGCCTCAGATGCTGGGCAAAGGGGCTCCCTCGCCCTGAGAGTGGACGTTGGCCTCCTCCCAGCTTTCAAAGGCCTTCCTGAGTCTTTCACAGCAAGTCCTGGAAGGGCAGGCCAGAGCTTGGGGCTGCGGGGCCCAAGTGTCCACCATCCTGTGGACCCCCTTAGAGAAAGGAAATATTATAAACACAAACATAGGCGAAATGTGAACATTTCTTTAGAATGAGGAAATAAAACCATTTAAAAAGCTGACGTATCCCACATATTAAAGAGCCAGGGAAAATGACATCATAATGTTTCTCATTAACTTCTCTCTCATACTTTCTCCTCTACATTTTGACTCCTGTACTCTGCAAGGACAACAGGAAGTTGTTGTTGTTGTTGTTAGGTGTTACCAAGTTGAGTACAACTGACAGCGACCCCGTGAACAACAGCCCTGAACTCCGTCCTGTCCTGTGCCGTCCTTATCTTCTCTGGTACAGCTGGGCCCATTGCTTCGGTCGCTGTGTCAATCTACCTGGCCGAAGGTCTTCCTCTCTCTCACTGTCCCTCCACCTCTCCAAGCATGACATCCCTCTCCAAAGAATAGCCTCTCCTAGCAACCTGCCCAGAGTATGTGAGATGGAGCTTCATCTGATGAAGTTTAGGAAATGTTTAAATCTTCTTCTGGTGTTCTTTTTCCTAAAGAGCTAACTCTACAATAACGCACAAACACACCATCTGGGCTGCTACCTTTTCCCTTGATTTGCTTTCTAGCATATCCTTGCATCCATCTCTGTCCATTTTTCTTTTTCCACACATTTTAGTGTCACCCATACGTAGACACCAGTGGATTCCACCCATGGCCACATCAGCATGCATACCCACTCAAGTTCAAATGCAATCTTTTTCATACCGGTGCATAATAACCAGACATCACCCCAGTGCCCCCTGGCAGGAAGAGAAGGGCAGAGTCTGGGCAGGGAGGGGAAGCTGGTCACAGAACAGTTACCTGTAAGCTCAGTCCTGGACCTTGAGGCTGGAAGCCTAGCTTCAGGTGTAAGCAATTAGCTTACTGGGATCAGCACCCTCTGCTTGGGTGCTCCCTTATGCTTATGGGACCAACCCCTCCTCACTGGCCAGCATTGATCGTCAGTGCTGTTTCCTCCTCCCAGAAGCCTGGCTTATCCCCTAGGCTGGGCTGGAGACACTCCTGGGCTCCCCGGCCCTCATGTGACAGCTCAGGCTGAAGTTGTTAACCGACACCCTCCCCCTGTCCCCACCTCTGCCAGGTTGTGAGCCCCACAGGCAGGCTCAGGTCCATCTTGCCCCCTGCCATCTCCAGCCCAGCACCCGGCACAGAGCAGGTGCTCAGTAAACACAGAGCCAGGAGGGAAGCAGGGAGAGAACGCATGTTCTAGGAGGAGGTCCCAAGGAGGGATATGTGCCGGAAGGTGGGGTTCTGAGTTTGTCCCTCTTCCTGGGAGGGCAGGGACTGTGACAGAAGCCCAGTGCTAGATGGGGTGCTATCAGCATCCACTGGAGAGCTGACCCCTACTATCTCTTCCAGTGTCCCCGTGTCAACGGCGTCAAAGCTCACACGGACAAGTACAACCGGAGACAGGTGGTTCTGGACCTGCAGATCTGGTGAGCCCTCGTGCTGCTGGGGGGTGTGGAGTCCTCTGCAGACAGCCTGTTTGGAGTGGAGCAGTCCTGATACAATCTAATTCTTGATGGGGAAAACCCTTCACTGACTAGCCACATCCACCTGGGGCTGTCAGGAGAATGGAGGAAAGGAGGGCTGGTCCAGGGGAACCCCAGACCAGGTTGGCTCCCGCCATCAGCCTGGGTGCTAAGATATCCCTGTGGTCCCAGGAACAGCAGAGCTTTCTTGAGGGCAAGGCCGGGTCACTGGTGGGGTGAGCCCACTATGCACAGGTGTGGTCAGGCCCAGGGTCCTCTGCAGTCACTGCAGACACCCTCCCCCCCCCACCCCCCTTTTCCTGCCTCTGTCAGGCTGTGAGCCCATGGGCAAGCTCTGGGCCAGCTAAGGGGGGTGACAGGAGATCTGGAGACCTCAAAGACACAGCAGACTATTCACCGGGTGGGGAAGGACACTTCCGTCCAATGAGGCTGGGATCAGACTTGTCTCCTTCCCACAGGAAGTGAGATTTGACATGAGCGCTGAAGGCTGGTAGGCTCACCTCAGGTTCCAGACCATCACCATGCCTTTCCTGTGTGGAAGGACACTCCCTGGCCTTAGTCCAGAGGCTGGCACACTGGGCAGACAGGAGCCAGCTCCAGGCACATCCATTCCCACTGGGGGGCTAGGTTCCATTGTGAACAGAGGCTGGGCTGTTTATTGGGCGTTCCTGGCCCTGAAGCCCTGTAGCGAGATCTGTGTGAGGAGGTTGGGCGCATTAAGAGCATCTGGTCCCCCGACCTCTCTCTGAGCTCACGTTCCCTGTCACTGGCTCGTCTTCTTGTGTCCTGTGGCCTTCTGGCCATCCTCTTGGTCCACTTAGAACCCTCCTTTGACACTTTTCCTCATCTGGGGCTCTCACACTGGCAGGGCACCCATTCTAGACGCCTCATGTGATCGCCTGCGAGAGCCGCTAGTCCCCTTCAGCCTCCGCTCTTGCAGCCTGAGATACCCTTCCCTCCTCTCACATCCACCCCAGAAGGAGCCTGGAGCGTTCCCCTAAGAACATCTGGGTCCACAGCTGGGGCTCCCTGTGTTCATTTGGAGGAGAGATGGACAGCCGTGGGCGGGGTAGAGGGGGAGCCTCGTCTTCACCTCTGGGATGCCATCTGGTGAAGTTGTTACCAGAGCCCCCACCTTGTGGTCAGGGATGGCTTCTGGGTGCAGGCCACTGGGGGCTGCCTCCTGGGGTGTGGCTGGGCCAGGGTTCAAACCAAGGCTGAGGCCTCTTGTGCAGAGCAAAGGCATGAGAGCCTCCTTCCTGCACTGTGTGGTCTGGGCGAGCGTCTCAGCCTCTCTGAGAAGCTGGACCTGCCCCTCCTCTACCCATGTCCTTCTTCCTCGTCTCAGCTACATTGGAGACTGTGAGATTAGTGTGGAGCTCCAGAAGATCCAGGCCGGAGTGAAAGGGATCCAGGTGGGTGGCCCGTCCAGGCCGCAGGGTGCAGGCAGAGCAGGGTGCGGTGGGCTGTGCGTGAGGGGCTGCAAAAATCCATGGTTGACCCTGCAGTGAGTTTCTGGAGGCAGTAAATCACATGGGAGGAGACCGCCCATCTTTCTCTCTCAGAGCGGATGGATGGACAGGCCCAAAGGCGTCACACACCTGCAGTGGGAGGGGTGGCCGTTCAGGGCCCCTTGGTCACTCGCAAAGCAATAGCTGCTGTGTCCACACTGTGGTGACAAAGATGGCCTGGGTGGACAGTCTTGATCTTTGATGGGGGTCTCGGGAAACACAGGCATGAGGCAGAGGAGGGAGGGAGGGAGGGAAGGAGGGAGCGAGGGACCTTGATGGCCTTCTGTGTTCAGCTGCAGGGCACACTGCGGGTCATCCTGGAGCCGCTGCTGGAGGACAAGCCCTTCGTGGGAGCTGTGACTGTCTTCTTCCTCCAGAAGCCAGTGAGTCTGGGGGTTGGATATGGGCCCACCCTGTCACTGAGCCCCTTCCGCTGGGTCTCAGCACCACAATGGGCGTTCATCATAAGCCCGGCCTCCTTCTTGGGTGCATGAAGATGGTCTCATCGAATCTTTAAGGTGTTTTGAGGAACTGGATTCCACTCTCCCGCTGAGCTGAGGCTCGACTAGTCACCTGCGTGATCTGATGTGGAGCAGAGAGTGAAATTCAGATCTCTCCAAGTCCTGGCTGGACTGGCCGGCTCCTAGGGTGGTTCAGACAGGAAGCAGCCCCACGTGCCATGCCCTGGTCCCCCTTAGCGGCCTGAGGTACCCTCACCTGGCTGCTCCTCTTGCTAAGGCTGTCACTCCAGAGGCCGGGTTCTCCACTCAGGGTCAGGGGAGACACTCTGTTCCCAGGGCCTCCCATCCTGACAGCCCACCTCTGCCCCGCAGCACCTGCAGATCAACTGGACAGGCCTGACCAACCTGCTGGATGCGCCAGGAATCAAGTAAGTGCCAGGGAGAGCCTCCAGGGAGATGCTGTGTAGATGCAGGTCCTTGGGATGTGGTGGGTGCCTTTTCCCATCCCGTTCTCTGTGTGAGGAGGGAGGGGCAACAGCGAGCCCTCCCCCTCCAGAGGGAAGAGTATGTGAGGTGAGTTGGCATGTTGAGGACAAGAGCTGTCTCCAATGTATATGTATGTATACACACGTATACACGAATAATGGGTGAGAAGTGCTTGGCTGAATGTTGGCTAATGGACACACAGTTCCCTGTTCTGGTTTTCTGTTGCTTTTGGTTGTTTGTTTGTTTTTTTATTTCTCACCGTTCTTCTGTCAACCACTTCTGATAATCAGGAAATAAGTTGTCCTTTGCAAGGCAGCTAACCGAGAGACAAGGATCTCTTGGGTAGCGTAAATGGTTCAAATCCATCCAGAAATGTCTTGGAATAAGCGTCTGCTGTTGTACTTTCCAAAAAATTAGCTGCTGGAAACTGAGAATATTTTTCAACTCTGCCAAATGTGGAGCCACCATAATCAGAATCTGTTGGATGCCAACTGGTCAAAGAGGAAGAAAACTCATGGTGTTCAGAACAGAACACTGACGTGAAATTCAGAATCAAAGTTCTGAGCTCTGCTCAGATGAGATGTTGTCTGGAGGTGGGAAGCAGACCTAGTCAGATAATGTCCTGACCCTGTCCTTTGGGAGCTGTGTGAGTTTGGGCACGTTCCCTCACCTCTCTGGGCTCTTCCTCAGGAGAGGGAGCCTGGTTCCTCTCCCTGGGATCCCTGTGAGAACACGTGTGTGTGATAGTGGCACATGGGTGTGGATGTCCGTGGACGTCCCCTTTTAGTCCTCCTTCCGCCCAGTCCTAGTTTGTGATGAGTAGTGATGTCGCCTCCCCATGAGCTGGACAGGGCAGCAAGGTGGAGAGAGTCCCCACCTTCCTCAGGTTCCGTGTGGAAGGAGGGCTGCTGGACTGGCCAGGTGGTGTGAGGCCCATTCACTCCCTTGCTCACTGAGAATATCTCCGCTGAGCTTGGCTCCTTTCGATGTAGAGAAAGAGTCACGCATTTGTTCATCCAAAACAAATTTCCTCAACACCTACTGTGCTAACCATCCTCGATTGTGAAGCTTGGTTTGGGGCACATAGTCAAGAGACACCAGTCCCCAGAAAAAGGCATCATTCTGGGGAAAGTTGAAGGTCAGATAAAGAAAGGAGGACTCTTAAGGAGATAGATGGACACCGTGACTGCAGCAAGGGGCGTGAGGGTGACACAGATCTCTTGTTCACGGGGTCACTAGGAGTCACGGTCAACTCCACAACACCTACTCTGTGCCATTCTATCCTAGACATTGTCCCCGTCTCCCTATTCTGGGCAGACAGGATCAGGTCAGAATCTAAGAGCGTTAGGACGTCTGGGAGTGGAAGAGCAGAGTAGCTAGTGCTCATGTAGCATTTGCTGTGGACGTTAGTGGCCTCGTAGTAAGGAGCTGCGCTGCAAGCCCAAAGGCACGAGATTCGAAGTCACCAGCTGCTCTATGGGAGAAACACGGACAGGGTCCGCTCGGAGTTGGTTCCAATTTGACAGCATATAACAATAACACTGTTTTCAGTACTTTACACATATTAACATGGTCCCATCAGAATGCTAGGAGGTGAGCATCGTTCTGTCCTTGGAGGGATCTGGACACTGAGGTCCAGAGATGCCTCTCAGAGTGGTAGAGCAGAATCTCTCCTCTGCTGCCTGGAAGAATCAAGCTGACTTGGAGCAGGAAGGCTGGCAGGGAAGAGAAGGCAAGGACTACTCCTTCTGATAGACTATCAGTTAGGGACCGACACATACACCATTTGCGTGTCCATCCTGGGCAGGCTGGGTCAGTGGCAGGCCCTCCCCAGCCCTCCCCACCAGGCTCTGTTCCTGCCTCCAGCTCTGGGACTGGGTGAGGGGGCCAGTGGCTTGGGGAAAGAGCTGCACCCCCACAGCTGGCAATGCCTGGTGTCCCCAGCGAGGTGTCGGACAGCCTGTTGGAGGACCTCATCGCCGCGCACCTGGTGCTGCCCAACCGCGTGACCGTGCCCGTGAAGAAGGGGCTGGATGTGACCAACCTGCGCTTCCCTCTGCCCTGTGTGAGTACCTCCTGGTCAATGGGCTCCCGGGCCCAGTTCAGGAGACCCCTGGGACAGTCTTGTGATCTCCTCACAGGAAGCGTCCAGAGCCCATCAGTGCTGGGAGTCAGGGCCTTTAGGAGAGGGCCAGTGTCTGGTGAGCGTTTCTTCTTATACCCATCCCGGCTGCTGCTTCTTCATCTCATCCCTGTTGTCTGCCTGCCCCATTGCCCGTTCAGGCACCTTTGCCATGTTGGATCCTGGCTCAAAAGGATCCCTGAGTTTCCACAGACAGCAGCTTGGTAATGCCCACTTCCCATCAGTGACTCTCCCAGCCTCTCAGTGAGGCTGGAATAAAGTCCACTCATAAAAGGATCCAGCTTTCACCAGTAGTAAGACTCCCAGGACACAAAGACACGTCTCCACACGCTGGGCCATTCATTTCTCCTTCAGCTTGATAACTCCGCATGCAAGGGCTTCCTTCCAACCTCAAAGACATACCCACATGCTGACACCCTTTTAGCCAAACCTGAACGGTTTGGACAGGTTGAAGTCCTCACAGTTTTAACTTTCTCCTCCTTTTATTCTGTGCTTAGGCATACATCTCTACAAAACAAGGATCTTTCTCTCTTCAAACCCAGAAGCAGAGAAGTATGATGCCATTGCCACATTTTAAAAACCATCCACACCGTCTAATATCAGCAGACACCCAGGCAGTGCTAAGGATTCAGTTACCTCATATTAGTATACTTCTTTTAAGCTTTTAAAAATGGAAATCTCAAGAATTTACACATTGTGTTTAGCTGATATTTAAATCTTTTCGTCTAATAAGTCTCTCTCATTCTCTCTTTACTCTTTACTTACCCATTACCTTGTTATCCAACATTTCACATGTACAATAGAGTAAAAAAAAAAATCTACTGACTATTTTGTGCTTTAAGGATGTATTATCTAGCAATGAGGGTGGCCTACTGGCAAGAAGCTGCACTGCAGTTTCAAAGGCACACAGTTCAAATCCATCAGCTGCTTTGCGGGGGAAGGATGGGCAATTAACTGCCTCTGAAAACCCACCAGAGGCTCAGCTATGGACCAGTTCTGACCTGATTGTACGCAACAACAATAACATCTAGCAATAATGAATGCCAAAGAATGAAGTAATAGGGATGCTGGCTGAAATGGTTGAGGTCATGTGTCTGCTAGGCTAGGATTTGACAGTTAGGTTAATGTGTAATTTGGCTATTATGTAATGATGTAATCACCCTCTATTTTGCGATTTAAATTTTTCATCTTCTACCGTCTGACATACTTTGGACATGTTGTAAGGAGAGACCGGTCCTTGGAGAGGGACATCATGCTTGGTAGGGTGGACGGACAGCACAGAAGGGGAAGGCCCCCTATGAGGTGGATTGATTCAGTGATTGGGGTAATCGGGATGGGTGTGTCAGAGACAGTGCGATTGGCACAGGACAGAGCAGAGTTTAGGTCTGTTGTACATAGGGTCGCTATGAGTCGCAAGTGACTCAACGGCACATAACAACAACAACAACATTATTACATAAAGATGTTTTCACCCACCTAGTGACCTGGTCTTTGGAACCATACTGTATCAATAAGAGAGGAATGGGGTACATTTTATTCCATCCAATTTACCTATTGAAGAAACCAGGTTATGTGGTTCAGAGTTTCTGTCTTGCTGTGTTTGGCTAATTTCATCTCTGGGGTAGTTTGGTGTATTCTCTCTCTTGTAGTTGGGAATTGGTTCTAGAAGGAGATTGATTCATGCTTAGTTGCTTTGTTTTTGTTTGGGGTTGTTTTAAAGATTATTTCATAGGTGGTTTGTGTATGGAGGCTCATTGTATCGGGATGACTCTTTGAGGAGCAGTGACATCCGTTTGAGGACTAAGGTGCATCTGATTCAGGTCATGGTCTTTTTCCATCATTTGCGATGCATCCGAGAGTTGGATGATGACTAAGGACGACAGAAGAAGAATTTATGCCTTTGAGTTGTGGTGTTGGGGAAGAGTGCTAAATATCCCATCGACTGCCAAACAAACAAACATTTGTCTTGGAGAAGGTGCAGCTATCGTACTCTTTAAAGGCAAAGATGATGAAGCTTTGTCTCACATACTTTGGGCGTGTTTCTAGGGCAGGCTATTCACTGGAGCCCCCCACATCATGAATGAGAAGGCGGAGGGACGGTGAAGGAGAAGAAGAGCCTTCACCAGGTGGATTGACACAGTGACTGCAGCAGTGGGCTTGAGGATGTCAGAGATTGTGAGGATGGCACGGGACGGGACAGGAGTCACACCTGTTGTTCACAGGGTCACTCTGGGTTGTACTCAACAGCACCTACCAACAACAGCACCAACCCTTGATGATCATTGCCTCAGTCCATCAATACATTGCTGTTGTGTACTAAAAAGTCCTGTCGAGTAAAGTGGACCTTATACGATTTGGAATTCTGCTTACAGAAGCAGGTTGTCACATCTTTCTCTCATGGAATGGTTGGTGGGTTCAAACTGCTGACCTTTTGTCTCCCAGTCAAGGCCTTAACCACTGTGCCATGGGAGCTTCTTATTGTTAATTCATTAGGAGTTGCAAAAGGGTAGTCATGTCATGAACTAGTTCTCTGTTGATGGACGGTTACACCCTGACTCTTGCTATTACAAGTCGTGTTGTAATAAATAGCACTGGTGGCCTAGTGGCAAGAAGCTGCACTGCAATCCCAGAGGCGCACGGTTCAAATCCACCAGATGCTCAGCCGGGAAAGGAGGGACAATCTCCTCCTGTACCAGTCAGACCCGATTTGACGGTACACTCACATAAAAAATAAGTAAATAAATAGATAGATAGCGTTATGCCCGTGTCTTTATATCTTTTTGTCAGTACACTGTTGATATCCATGCCTAGCAGTAGGATTGCTGGATACATTTACAAGGATAATAATAATTAAAAACAGAGGCCTACTACCTTACCTTCTACAAGCTGTGTTGGCCACCTCAGCTCCCTAAAGCTTGTGATCTCTTCTTTAACGTAGGGGGCTCTGGTGGCCTAGGCTGCAGGGAGGCAGTTCAGATGTCCAATAGCCCCGCAGGGAGAAGGATGGACAACCTACAGCCATCTGAAATCCTGCTACAGGCTCAGCGATGAGTTGATTCTGACCCCACAGCAGTGCATTTTCCACTTTTTAATGGAGTGAGATTTTTTTTTCCTTTTTTAAGCACTCATCCTGGGGGTGCAGGGAAGGTGGTCTACTGTATAGTGCAGGCCAGGTGCGCAGGGGTGAGACTTGGTGCTGAGGGCTTGATGGGCACATGGGTGCACTGTCTACGGCAGGCAGGATCTGAAGCACTGTGCTCACATGGGTACCAGAGGGAAGTGATGGCGGAGTTGGGCCAGTATGCAGATTACAGAGAGGGCTGGGAGCAGAGGAGGAGACTTCCTCAGATGGCATAGTTATCGGCACAGGAGGGGGAAGTGTCCAAAGTTGAATAAGCATTGTATGTGGCTAGTTCGAGGCAGGGATGGATAGAAAGGCCAGGAGCTTGGATGGAGTGGCTAGGATACTGGAGAGTCCTGGGCCTTGCTGTCCACCTGATGTACGGCCTTGGCCGCCTCACTGCTCTGTGTCTTCTGTCTGCCCATCCGGACCTTGTGAGGGTGGCCCCTAATGGCTTAACCCCGGTCTGTGGGATATTCCAGGGCGTGATCAGAGTCCACTTGCTGGAGGCAGAGAAGCTGGCCCAGAAGGACAACTTCCTAGGAATGGGAGGCAAGTCAGACCCTTACGCCAAGGTGAGCATCGGCCTGCAGCATTTCCGGAGCAAGACCATCTACAGGAACCTGAATCCCACCTGGAATGAGGTGTTTGAGGTGAGGGCCTCCTTTGGCTGCCCTGGGTACCGTTTAAGTTCTGCTGTGGGATGTACGGGTCTCTTATATGTCCACGGGTTCAACACTGGACCAGTGGAGGGGGCCTTAGAGACCAGAACACCCGACAAGGGCAGGTAGGTCTCTGTGTTCTGCATCCAGGCTTGACGAGTGGGTTCTGCTCCCACTGCAAAGCCGGCTTGTAGGCAAATCCTGCCCTGCCTCCCTTTCCCACCAGAGTCAAAAATTGCTAGAAGTAAGGTTTTTCAATCAAAAGAGAGATACTCAGAGGCAGTGTCCTGGTGCTGTCCACTCCTCCCAGCCTCCTCATCCCAGGAGTCTGAACTCACTGAGAACTATCCTGAGTTCCCAGAGGAGAGGCCTGCAGACTGGAAATGCTGCAAAGGCCTCTCAGATTACACATTCCGTTCCGGGGTCACCTCACAGCACACCTCTGGAAGTTACACTCAGCTTGTGTAACTGAAGTGATGAAAGGAAACTTTCTGGGGTTTTCAGCCCATGGGCCGAGGAGAATCCAGTGGGAACTTGCTCTGGAAGCTACAGGCCCCATGTGTGTCTCAGCAGCTACCGTCTAGGAGTAGCCGTGGGCAGCCCTCCCTGTCTCTAATCCCCCCACTGCCCCCCCAGGGGATGGATGCCACTTCCTTCTCAGAGCTGAGATCCCACAGGTGCTAAGAGGTCAACAACATGACTGGCAGCTGGTGGGGCCAGCATTTGCCTCTCCATGGTCATTCCTGAGATGACCTTCAGATGCAGGCATCTCTCTCTCTCTCTCCCTCCAGCTCATAGTGTATGAAGTCCCCGGGCAGGACCTGGAGGTGGACCTGTACGATGAGGACCCTGACAGGGATGACTTTCTGGGCAGGTGAGAACAGGGGTGGACAAGGGGCAAGTGGTGGGCCAGTCGGTCTTCCTGGAGGGGCAGGCCAGGCCACAGGCCCAACAGCCTTCACTTCTTCTTCTAGTCTTTGTGTTTTGTTTTGTTTTAATTATTTTTGTGTGCGTGTACCGTCAAATCACATCTGAATGGTACAGGAGGAGATTGTCCCTCCTTCCCCGGCAGAGCATCTGGTGGATTCGAACCGTATTCTTTGTTTTTAAATGATGCTTTTTACAAAAGTCTGACAGGACACCTTTGGTTCTTATTTAACAATTTCTCTACAAATTTTTCACTAACACTGGTTATGTTTACAGGATATGATAATTCTCACTACTTCCATGCAGGCTCTTCAATTTCCAGTAACCTAGTTTGCCTCCCTGCCCCGTTACCTGCTCTCCTTTTCTTTAGAGTAACTGTTGGCCATTTATTTGGTCTCAAATAGATGACTTTTTTTAAGGAGTGTTGTACTCACAGGTAGTGACAAGAAGCTATGCTGCAATCCTAAAGGCTTGCAGTTCGAGGCCACCAGCCACTCCATGGGAGAAGGATGGGCAATCTCCTCCCGTGTGATTTATTGCCTCTCATAACTCGCCGGAGGGTCAGCTACGGGTCGGTTCTGACTCGACAGTCCACAACAATTTTGCAGAGCGTCTGGTGGATTGGAACTGTGTGTGCATCTTTGCGTTGACAGCACAATTTCTTGCCACTAGGCAACCAGAGCTCCCCATCCTTCTCATAGTGCACCCAAAGTTCCCATCTGCAGCAGTGGCTGGGGTCAGGGCTGGTGTGGGGGCCAGGTGCCCAGTCCCAAGGACTCACTCTGGGATGGAGCGTGGGACATCAGCGCTGTGGATGGCTGCAGTAGTGGGAGGTGGGCATGGCTATCAGCATTTCAAATTTGCATATCTTCTGGTCCAGCACTCCCAATTTCAATATTATTATTATACAACAATAAACAACAGCACCAACAAACAAAACTCTGGAGCTGGGAATGTCCAGCCTCTTGGGGTATGTGTTGAATGTCACTGCCAAACTATAGAATATTCTGCAGCTGTTAAAGCTGATGAGTAGGGTCTATGTGTGCTGGTCAAGGTGGCCATGCAGGAATGGAGTAATCTGTGCAGTTAGATTCCATTGTTGAGGAGATTTGCTCCTGTGGAGGAATGTCTGGCCCCTACTCCTTGTCTCCTTGTCACAAAGCAGCCTCGGGCTGTTCACGCTGGGGTCTCAGAGAGCCGGGGAGAGGTGGAGGATGGAGAAAGGATGGTGACCAGGTGACTAAGGAGGATAGAAGGAGAACTGATGCCTTTGAGCTGTGGCACTGGAGGAGTATTGAGGGTACCATGGACTGCTAAGAAAACAAACAGATTCATCTTTGAGAGGGTTAAATCAGGCTACTCCTTGAAGGCAAGGATTCTGGGGCTTCGTCTGACATACTTTGGACATGTTGTAAGGAGGGACAGGTCCTTGGAGAGGGTCATCATGCTTGGGAGGGTGGAGGGCAGGCGCAGGAGAGGAAGATCCTTGAGATGGATTGATTCAGTGACTGGGATAATCGGGATGGGTGTGTCGGAGACAGTGAGATTGGCACAGGACAGAGCGGAATTTAGGGCTGTTGTACATAAGGTCGCTATGAGTCGCAAGTAACTCAATGGCACATAACAACAACATGTTGGTTGTTGGGGAAGAGTACTGAATATCCCATGGACTGCTAAGAAACCACAGGTATGTCTTGGGAAACATGAGGCCAGCGTGCTCCTTGGAAAGAAAGGATGGTGAAGCTTCATCTCACGTGTTTTGGGCATATTGCTAGGAGAGGCCGTTCCTGAGAGAGGGACATTATGCTCGGAAAGACGGAAGGTCAGGGGGAAAAGAGGACCCTCAACAGATGGATTGACATGGTGACTTCAGCAGTGGTCTCAAGCGTATCTGAGATAATAAGGACATGGTTCAGATCCGTTGTTCATAGCGTTGCGATGAGTCGTACTAGTCTCGGCAGCACCTACCAACAGCTGGCTGCAGCAGCATGCTGGTTGAACTGTTTCCAGGGACGAGGAACAAAAAAAGAAAGAAGTAGACGCACATCAAAACGGGAGGAGCACAGGCTGGCAGGGGAAGAAGCTTCTTGTCCCCAGAAGTTATCACTTTCTATTGCTTCTCTTGAGGGAGCTCTGGTCACCAAGTAGTAAGAAGCCTAGGTACAATCTCAAAGGCTAGCTGTTCAAATCCACCAGCTGCTCTGCAGGAGAAGGATGGGCATTCTCCTCTTGTGCATTTTACTGCCTCTGAAAACCCTCTGGAGGGTCAGCTATGGGCTGATACCAACTTGACAGCATACAACAACAACACTGCTTAGCTTGGGTTTTTTAAAACAACAAAACGCATCTTACCCTTTTTATAATGTTGAAGAACAGAAGTGACTGGTGGCCTTGGGCCCGTGTTTCGATTAGCTGATGTCGGATGTGTATTGAACTCAAGCACAGATTCTGACAGCTTTGGGGCATTTGCCTTCTGGCCTGGCCAGGCGGGGTGAGTGTTACTGTGAGGCGGGTGTCATTTGTTCCTACACAGGTGCCAGCTACTCTTGGGAGGGCACTCAGGAGAGATTTGGAAATGGACAGGCATTTGGTGTGGTCACATGTTATCTGAAATGCACGGGCAATCTTGTGCGAGGAAGAAATCACTTCACCCAAAACGCCAGTAGTCTTATTTTTTTAGTGAAAGCCAGAGTTGATGTGGCCTGGAGCTTGCCCTTGTCCCCTCTGGGGACTAAGACCTCTTCGCTCCTTGGTTAAAGCCCATCCTTCACTCTAGTTCTCTCCTACTGACTCTCTGGGCCTTGCAGAATAAGATCCTGTCTTGGTAGCTGTCCTCACATAGCTGATAGTGGGGGGTGGGCCTCCACATCGCTGCATCTCTGAGCTGATGCCCCTCCTTATGTCTTCCAGTCTGCAGATCTGCCTTGGCGACGTCTTGACCAACAGAGTGGTGGATGAGGTACAACTGGGGCCTCAGACCGAGGATGGCACGCAGTGCCCCTCCCCGTGGGCAGCACTGTCTTGGGAATGAGACTCTTATCTACTGGGCAGCAGGCATGCTTGGGGAGAGCTGAGGGAGGCACACTCGGGGTCTGTGAGCCCCTCAGGAGCCAAATTGCAGGCATTCTTCTCTAGAAATGCCTGCAGGCCTCCAGCGGGGGCCCTCTGTGTTATAAGGAAGGGCAGGCTGGGCGAGGCTGGGGCCTTTTACAGGCCAAGTGGGACTTCCTTGTCTTGTGAGGCGTGGTAACTGCCTCTTCCAGCCCCTCTGAGCCCACACTCCACCCTCAGCAGGTTGTGTCACTTTGATTTCAAGTCTCCGTTTGGCTCTTACTGGGTCCCAGGACTGAGTAGAATCTCTGGGGGTCCGTGGCTCCCTCCTCTCCCTACAGTGGTTCGTCCTAAATGACACAACTAGCGGGCGGCTGCACCTCCGGCTGGAGTGGCTCTCGCTGACCACTGACCAGGAATCTCCGGCTAAGGTGAGTGTGATATGGAAGGGTCAAGGGAGTGGGCATTGTACAGTGAGGTAATCCATGCACACTAAGGGAGGGCGGAAGGGGTGTCAGGCCTCCCAGAGGACCTGTCGGCCAGCCCATCTCCTCACATAGCAGCTCTTGACCCGTCTCAGCAGAGTCTCAGCCATCTTCAGGGAAAAGGGTGTGTGTGTGGAGTGGTCCTTAGACCTCTGTCGCTGCCTGTCAGCCTGGCAGTCTGTCTTGGTGTCTAACTTGAATCGATGCTGCTGCACTTGTAGTCTCAGCTTCAACAGAAAGCTCAGTTGGGATCCCTCTTGTGATTAGTCTGAAGTGAGCAGGCTGGCTGGCTGGCTGGCTTCCTCCTGCCGCCGCTGCCTTCTCCCAAACCAACGTGTCCCTCTGCTGATTCTTGCAGGACTCTGGCCCCCCGCCCCCCACTGTCCTCTCCACTGCCATCTTCGTGGTCTTCCTGCACAGCGCCTGCAACCTGCCGGTAAGTGGGACGTGGCTGGACTATGTGCCCTCTGGAAGCTCCTCGTGTCCTCTCTTCTGGACGTCCGGGAGCTGCTCATTCGCCTCCTTATTATTTTGGTCTGCAGAGAGGCCCGTTTGACTATCTCAATGGTGAATATCGAGCCAAGAAACTCTCCAGGTTTGCCAAGGTGAGAGAGAAAGAAAGAGGGAGAGAGAGAAGGGGGAGAGAGAGAGAGAGAGAGAGAGAAGAGGGAAAGGAGGGAGAGGGAGGG